AAAAAAAAACAGATAGTAAGTGTTAGCAAGGATGTGGAGAAATTGGAACCTTTATGCACTGCTGGTGAGAACGTAAAATGGTGCAGCTGCTTTGGAGAACAGTCTTGTTGTTCCTCAAAACGTTAAACATGGTTACCATAGGACCCAGCAACTCCACTTCTAGGTATATACCCAAGAGAAATGAAAACATATGTGTTCACACAAAAATACCATGTTTATAGCAGCATCGGTCATAGTAGTCAAAAGTAGAAACAACTCACATGTCCATCAGCTGATGCATAGATGAACAAAACATGTCCATCCATACAATGGAATATTATTCAGCTATAAAAAGGAATGAAATAGTGGTACATGCTACAACACCCATGAATTTTGAAAGCATTATGCTAAGTGAAAGAAGCCAGTCACAAAATGGTGCCATTTATGTGAACCATCCAGAATAGGCAAATTCCTAGACACAGAAAGTACATTAGTTAGTGGATGCCAGTGGCTGGAAGGATTGGAAAGTGACTGCTAATGAGCGCAAAGTTTCTTTCTTACAGGGTTAGGGAAATGTCCTAAAATTTATGGTTGTACAACTCTGTGTAAGTATACTAAAAGCCACGTGACTGTATACTTCGTATGAGTGAATTATTATTTTAATTTTTTTATTTTTTTTATTTTATTTTTTGTCTTTTTCCGTGTCTGGCAACGGATCGCAACCCTCAGTGTCACCCCCGTACCGGACCGGGACCGGCAATGGGATTGCAACCCTCGGTGTTGCTCCCGCGCCTTGCTCAGCCAGTGAGCGGGAACCGGTCTGTATGTGGGATCCGAACCCTTGGCAGGAGCGCCGCCGCGCTTCCCAAGCGGTGCACTATAGCAGTGCGCCACCGGGCCGGCCCCGTATGATTGAATTATGGTATTTGAATTATATCTCAATAAAACTTACAGAACAGCTAAGTAGGTATAGGATTAATGTATGAGAAATAATGTTAGTAATAAAAATGGTCCAAATTTATTGTCTGGATAAAGGAAATCTAGAAAATGCATCAGTATCTTTGGATCGCATGTGCTCAGTCGGGTGTCTTCCCTCTGTGAACAGCAGCCTGTGTCCTTGGGTGGGCAGACCAGGGTGGAGGATGCGGTACAGAAAGCAACATCCTAGCGCACCCCCAATCCCTCCTGGTCCCTTGAGTGGGATGAGGAGCCTCCGGGATCCTGTTCCGTCCACACTCGCCAAGCCAGATGGCTCCTTCCACTCTTGAATAATCCTGAAGCCAGTCTGAGCACCAGTGAGCTGCATGTGGCACGTGCATGTTGTGCACTCTGTGTTCCCAGCTGGTTCTCAGGCATTGTTTGCTCATTTGGGAGGTTCATGGCACACGCTTCTCTGTTACAGATTGAAGAAGGAAGCAAAGCTGCAGCGGTTGACAAGTTGCTGGCTGGAGACGAGATCGTGGGCATCAATGACATTGGTCTCTCAGGGTTCAGACAGGAAGCCATCTGCCTGGTGAAGGGGTCCCATAAGACCCTGAAGCTTGTAGTCAAAAGGTAAGACCTGGGTCTCCTTCCACGTTTGCCAAGACAAACATGAGTGAGCAGAACGTCGAGCCTGGTTGGCTTGCCTGTATCTCTGTAGAGATCTTGATTTGGACTTACATCCTGCATGGGTGTGCACATAGAAAATGTCTCTCAGGGGCTGGCCTGGTGGCGCACTGCTACAGTGCGCCGCTTGGGAAGTGCGGCGGCGCTCCCGCCGAGGGTTCGGATCCCACATACAGACCGGCCGCTCACTGGCTGAGCGAGGTGTGGGAGCAACACCGAGGGTTGTGATCCCGTTGCCGGTCCCGGTCCGGTACGGGCGTGACACTGAGGGTTGCGATCCGTTGCCGGTCACGAAAATAGACAAAAAGAAAAAAAAAAAAGAAAATGTCTCTCAGGCAAGGATGAACCCAGCATCAAAAATATAAGATTGCAGGGCCGGCCCCATGGCTCACTCGGGAGAGTGTGGTGCTGGGAGAGTGTGGCGCTGGGAGCTCCAAGACCGCGGGTTCGGATCCTATATAGGGATGGCTGGTGCGCTCACTGGCTGAGCGCAGTGAGGGCAGCACCAAGCCAAGGGTCACAATCCCCTTACTGGTCACAAAAAGGAAAAAAAAAAAAAGATTGCAGAAAATAAAAACAAAAAGAAAAGGGAAAAAAAGGAACAATTTAAAAATAAATAAAAAGAAAAAAACATTTAAAAAATTTGAAAAGAAAAGAAAAAAACAAAACAAACGAAAAAATTTGTTTCCTTATTTTGTTACAACTGATTTTTTAAATGTTTGATTGAGCAAATTTGAATCTTCCTACCTTCCTTTGTTCCGATGAAGTGATGTGTTGTTGCCTGTTGTTTACACAAGGTGGCAGGCTACTGTGTTTTTGGTTTTTAATGCTATGAAGAGAATGTGACCACTGCGTAGACGTCAGCATCAGCCTGCAGGTGTTTATAGTTCTGTGCTGAGATCTGAGGGTAGCGAGCTGCCTGTTCTGGTAAGTTCGATTGTTGATAGGAGCTTGCGTGATTTTAAGAGGTTAGAAAGTGAAGTTAGGGATGCAGTGCTTTTAAATACAGGAACTAAAACAATATACCTGGTTACAGCCGGGTAAATAAAGGGGATTTGTGATTTCTTGTTTTAAAATAGAAATAATTCTCCACCTCGGTTTTGAAATGTTTACATGTCTTTTTTTGGCAAAATTAGCGCATTCTAATTCTGGTTGGCTGTAAATTTTAAGAAATAAATTAACGCAAACATTTATTTTAATTTTTACTTATTTATTTATTCATTCGTTCATTCATTTTTAGCAGCTGGCCAGTACTGGGATCCGAACCCTTTTACCTTGGTGTTATAACACCGTGCTCTAACCAACTGAGCCAACCGGCCAGTCGTTATTTTAATTTTTAGTACAAACTTGAAGGCATAGTCCCAAGGACTTAACTTTTTTTTTCTTTCTTTTTTTGTGCCTAAAATAGCATCCAAGGAGAGTTTCAGAAATGTGGAAGGAAGAAATGTTCTTTGCCCATTAATTTATCAGCCTCATTTCTAAGTGGTATATGCTATTTAACATATTTAACAAGCACTTGTAAATCAGAAAGATCTCAGAATGGCAGTTTCTGAGCCATTTGGGGAGGATGGGATATGAGACTTACTGTCACTTTGTATGAGGGGGTCTTCAAAAAGTTCATGGAATAATTTGTGTTATCTTTTAATCCTCTTTTTCCATGAACTTTCTGAAGTACCTTCCTATGATGATTCCTTTGTGGTCACATTATTAACCCTCTAAGGCAATATATTTGTTCTTGGTACCAACTCGGTTGTGGGCTGCTGGAACCCCTGACACACTGAGCCAAGTTCATGTTCTTACTACAGGGGAGACACCAGCCTTCGTGGACGCAGTGGGCAAATTTCGTACCCCCAGGGCCTATCTGTGCATGTAAATTCCCAGCACGGGAGTTGCTGAGGCAGAAGGTGTGTGTATTGTGGACCTTGCTAGACATTTCCAAACTTCTCAGACCACTTGTTTAACCACGTCATGTGCAGCATAGGGTATTTTCAGTCTGTTTGTTCTCTCTGTGAATATGATAAGTGAAAAGTGGTTTTATTTTTTAAATTTGCATTTTTTAAAATGTGAGTTAAGTCGGACATCATTCCATATGTTTAGAAGCATGATGTATGTAATTTCTTTTTGAACTAGAGGTACAAATGCACAGATATAGATAGGCAATCTGAAATCTGGTCAAAGTAAAGCACCCATACACATGGGAGCTGGCAGGTAGGAGGAAAGAGAAGGTGCCAGGGTGCCTGCTAGCTGATGTAGCTGAGTTGGTATTTAAAAGATTCTTGGGAAGAGGATTAAATATTTGCTCTGAAGGATGGATGTGAGCCACTGTGTGGAGTCCCCTCTTTGTGTTCTGCATACCCAGTTTCCTTTAAATGAGAAGTGCACAAAATGATTATGTGATTTAGATAGAATTTAATATTTTCAATAATATGTATAACTCAATATGAGAACAAACAAGGCTGTTTTTTCACTTTTAATAATAACAGGCATTTTAGAATTTTTTAAATAAAAAATAAAATAAAATAAATAGTTTTGTACTAATTTTTAATAATATATGTAGGTACTATCTTTGCCTGTTTAGACAGAAAACAAGTTTAACATGGTGCTTTGTTTAGAAATGAGAATGAAATTTTCCAGACTGGTGAATTAGTAACACTGGGATTTATTGCTGTCATCCAGCTCATGGCAAATGCCTGCCGTAAATCCTGAAGATGTACACAGTAAGGACTTCTGAAACTCCAAACTAACTTCTAACTGTTTTCTTTATTACAAAAGCACCAACGAGTGCTTTTAAAATTGTTCTTCTTAAAGCCAGAGCATGTAAATTTAAACCTCCATTTAAATCTCTCTGCCCTCCGCTTTCTCCATCCCCAGGCAACCACTAATCTGCCTTCTGTCCCTATGGCTTAGTTAGCATTTTCTAGCATTTTACGTAGGGCTCCAAGATAGAGGGCCCACTCTCAAAACAAATGGCTAGTTCATAAAAAACCAGTGCATAAGTAATTCATAGACCAAGCTACAACCGTATAAGTATTGCCCCACTTAGAAGCATGACCAGATGATAAATTTGGTTCTCATCCTTGTTGAACTTGATGCAACTGCTTGCCCATCTCTGGTGCCCTAAGATGCGGTGGAGTAGGGGCACGTATGCCTCAGCATAGACTCATGCACCCATGGTTTTCTAAATGACATTTGAATAGTGGCTCAAACTCCCCTCCCGCTAGTGACAGCTGCTACGTGTCTTTTCTTTTCGTGGGCTCTTTTTATCTTGGGGGGAGGGGTGTGTGTGTGTGTGTGTGTGTGTGCGCGCGCGCGGTGGACCAGTTTCACAAAGCAGTGGCATCTTGTTTCATGGGCACAGGCAATGTGATCTTGTCATCGTTGAGAAGATCAGCCAGTGCCGGGAACGCAATGCATGAAGAGACACACAGATCACTATCTCTCCTCAGCGAAGTTTCTTTCCCAGACAGATGAGAGCAAGCACTTCCTCTCTCCGGGGCAGGGGTAGCTGGAAACAAAGACCATGCGACTGTCATCCACACCAGCTGCGCATATGCTCTCTTTCATGATGCACAGGTGCATGTGCACATGAGAGATGGCAGGTGGGGCTGGTCAGTGCCCAGGAGTCCGGGCACCTGTGGTCAGGAGAAGCCGAGCTAGGGGCTTTTGCCTCGTCCTTTGCTCCCAGGCCACTTGTTCTGTCTTTGCCTGGCTGAGGAAGTGCCCTTTGCAGGAGAGTAAAGACCAGTGTGTAGCCCTTTGTCATGTGTTTGTCTCTCTGTCCCCAGGCCCACCCCCGGAGAGGCTGATGGGCAGGTCTGGATGGATTTGGGCTCTGGGATCTTTGTAGAGGGCCACAGGCTGTTTTGTTGGGTGGCCACCATGGTTCTACCACTTGCTGGCTTAAAGCAGTTGTGCTTAGGTGCACTTTGGCATTTTCCTGATTAACTTAGGTCAGCAGGTAAGCCCCTTGCTATGCAAAAGGACAGACTGCTGTGCTGGGGAAGGACCAGGAAAGAACAGCAGCACGTAGTTCTGCTAGGCTTCTTCTACTCCCCCTGTTCTAGAGGCTATGGTTGTCACTGTCCTAGGCACTAAAATATGCATTAACAACACTTCAGTACCCATAATGTCAAACGCCCTAGGGAAATTTTATTTTATCCCATCATAAATTATTTTCTAAAGTTTGTAATTATGCTTTCGGTCTTTTTTCTAAATTTATATTGTAATATTAACTTTGTTTACAGTGAAATCCACCTTCCACCTCATCATTAATCCTACCCTGGATAGTTTCTCTTGAACGTATGCTATGTGACAAGCAGTTTTGTTGGGACCAAATCATTAATAGGGTTGATTCATGTTATTTCCTGTCTCTTTGCTGGCCGTCTTAAACCCTTTTGTGAATCTAATTACATCCACTAAGCTTGCATTCAGGAGCAGATTAACACCAGCGGGGGAGGTCTTTTTGCAGGAGGCCTGAGGGTTCCTGAGGCTGTGCCATGCAGTTATACATTTGAAGAAAGGAAGCTTCCAGTGCAGTGACAGAGCTCATGCTTGCTGGGAGTGTTTCTTGCAACATGCATCCCTCCTGAGATGTTACAAAGTTGTAATGACTTCTGCTTCAAGCTGGTATCCCCTCTGGGCTCCCCTCTGGTGTGCACTCCTTGGAGCTGTCCTTGAGCAGGTGGCCTTGCAGCTCCAATGTTGATAGCACAGATGTTCCCGGGAGCCCGTAGAGTGGTGTGGCAGGAGTAAGGGGATGGCTAAGGCAGCAGGTTGTGCCCCTCTCCTCCTTCTCTCCCCTCCCCTCCCCTCCCCAGAGAGCTCTTCCTGGGGCAGAAACTGTGTGTGTTCAGGTGGAGGTATGTGCTCTTTAGTGGGGATGCTGGAGGGTGGCAGGTTTCACCTGTGTTTTGGAGGGTGGTCTGATGTCATTTGTTCATGGTTCG